TTGAACCATCCGCCATCTCTTTTTTTTTTTTTTTTTGAAACACACGCTCCATCTATTGGTGGGGAGCAACACCTGCTGGAAACCGGGTCCAGCGTCCCACAATTACAACCATATCCTCACAAATAGGCACCAACTGGGAACCGGGCCCAGTGTCCCATAACAGACACGTTCAGAAAATTCATCAGAAAATTCCATGAAAATAAGGCTAGAAAGCTACTAAGAATTTAGAGCTGCTTCTTTTTGAAAGTTAAGATACCGGATATTGGAACAACTTCAGACATGTCTACAACAATCTTCATGATTTAAGCAGACCCCCCAATTTCCTCTTTTCTTTTTCCTTTCTTTTTCCGGCACTATTGGTGTGAGGCCTGCAAGACCTACAGGCGCTAGAAGAGGGACTGGGAGAATTTGTCCGTTTGGGTATTTGGCATGCAGAGGACAACTGCTTGTTCCTTTTCTTTTTTTTACACAAACACACACACAGGCCCCATCTATTCTGAGGGGCAGCAGTTCCGTTGCTCATCGTTGGCAAGCTCTTTGAGCAATTGTTTTTATAAACCGAATGCCTGTGGCCCAAAGCCCACCAATCTAAGCGCCATCAAGAAACGAAGTTAGGAGAGCAACCAGCCGGGAGACTCCCAGTGGTACCCAGACACTGCTCACTCCAAACCCCAATTTCAGCCTGTCTCAAGCAAGACCCTTGTGGGCAGGGCCCCMCCCCCCCCCGCCCCCCCAAGTTCCCTTCCCCATCCTCCCCTCACTTCCCCACTCTCACCTCCTCGCCCGATCCATAATATGCGGCCATCGATCCAACTATTTATTGCCTTATCCAATTGAAAGGATTTCACCTTGCTTGGCTACTGAAATTCGATCGCGGGACCTGTTCTTTCTACCCGTTCTTCTGTCTTGTATGCCTTAGTGTTCCTGCGGAAGTTTGAACCCGGAACCTGATGAGGACTTACCTGCACCCTTAACTGTTGACATACCGTGCTTGTATTGCATTGACTTTGCCTGTGGAGTGTTGAGCCGGGGACCTGTTTTTGTACACACGTAAAGTCAATGCTGACTACCATATGTGCGGAGAGTGTCCTCCAGCAAGTATCCAGAGGTCAACGAGGGAAGCGCCCCCGGGAAACAAAACTTCAGAATTCTTGACAATTATGCAAATCCAATTAAATCCAGCTATCCAACACGTGCTGTAGCAGGTATTGCGCCTGCTGGTGGGTGCAGCTCCCGCATGTTCCCTAGTTGGAGGCTTGAGCACGGATGTGGCTGCTACGGGGTTCCCCGTAATACTACAATCACAATAAAAAAGGCCTGAAAGGCCACCCTGTCCAGATTCGACAGGTAATTGAATTGGTTGGGCTTAAGGAATTAGACCACGAGTACCTTTGCCGCTTCAGAAATGAGGGCAAACGCCAGTCCCCGAAGAATTCGGAGGCCGGGCCCCGCGATGGCTGCCATTGATAAACCTAATCGGCGGCCGTCATTTCATTTTGGCCTCCTGAAAGGTCGGAGGCCCGCTATTTTCTGAACCGACAAAGGTACTAGTGGTTAAAAAAAAAAAGAAAAAAAAAAGGGTTGAGTGCCTGGCAGGAAATGAACCAAGAAAAAAACAGAAATAAACGAAAGAGTGCCTGGCAGGAAATGAACCAAAGGCTTAGAGGAGAAAGTGCGGGATGGGAGGTGAAGCCTGGCGCTCACTCCAGCTTTATATGGCGATGGTCATGCACTCTGTCCTGTTTTGATGATCTTTACTACGGTAACTGATGGCATTCACAGCTCCAAATCTTAACCATCGCAGCTGATTGCTGCTCTGCTTACAGGAACTGGAAAAGTCCAACTGCGCTGCTGTGAGGAATAACATCATGGTAGCCATGTCAGACCTTTGCATGCGGTATACGGCACTTGTTGACAGGTTAGTAGTGCACAGCTTTCTTCAATGTCTGTAGAAAAGAGGCCAGTGAAGTCTGCGACTTCTGTTCCTCCTCTTCCCCCTCCCTCCCACCACTGCGCTTTTTGTTGGTTTGTGAAGTAAATGGGCAAACCCTGGACACCATTATCATGATCAACAGGGTTTGAACTTGGAAATCATGGTCTGTTTGGTTCATGATTGCAGGCGGGTACTCTTTGGTTCACAGCCTTGTGCTTTGAGTACACTTTTTATTTTTTTTATTTTTTTTTTAATTTTAAGGATGAATGCCATTAGATTATGGAAACTGGGTCCAGCGTCCCTTACAAGTACCTACTCCACGCCTGAGACAGCGGCATTTCTTGTTTCCTAGAAAGGAAGGATTTGCCTGCAGTGCCTGCATCTTTAGCTGTCCAAAGCCTTGTGTAGCTCCAAGCCTGCTAAGCAGAGAAGACTCCATGTGGAACGGATATGGCTGGAAGATATGGCGAGCAAAGCAGTTGCCTATGATGCGGCAAGGGGAGGATCCCTTGTTCAGCAGCATGATGCCATCTAAATATTTGGTGCTGAAATAAGTGATACAGCTTTGTTCTATGGTACCGAGGTTTTCTCAAGAAAGGGGCGGAAACTCGCTCGAGGATCATGGTGTTGCTGGTGCAAGATTGGCACTACGTACTCCTTGAAAGAAAGAGGGGATTCACAGCAGAACACTGCGGAAGAAGATGATCACCTGCCTGTTGTGTGAGGGCAGGCAAGAGAGAGAGAGAGAGGGAACTGATCGTAGGAATTGCAAGGAAATGCTGCCAAGCGTAGCTTCCTCCGGAAGTAAGAGAGAAAGATCAGCCTGGGGGGAATGGGAATGATGATAGCCGTAACATGAAGTTGGTTGTAAGTGGATCATTGACAGTGCTACTTGATAGTGGTGTCAGGAAGGACATGAAGAGAGTGAAAAGGGTGCAGCTCTGAGATCGTGGTTGTTGAGAGGTGATGGCGTGGCACTGACAAGATATGTATGAAAAAAATGTTTGACTGTGGCAGCTATGTAAAGTGCATGACGTGCTCTCTGAAAGATCCGTGTGAGATTGTGCGACGACAATCTATGTTGCTCCTTGCTGGCCTTCTTCGAGTAAGTGCAGAAGTCATTCACTAGCTGCTTGCTGTGCTGTCCTTCATTGTGTATTTCAAGGTCCCATGAAGAGTACACCCATTTGCTTGGCTCTTCTATTCCAGAGGGTCTTTTGAACGATTTGTATATGCTTTCACGGTTCCAAACGTATATCTGGAAGTTCGGATACCCATCCAAAATAGACGAATACTCTCTGAATACTTGCTGAAATTTTCAGTCTTGATGGAGTTCAACCATTGTAGAATTGCGAAGCCAAGGACTTTGGGCTGAGGAGTAACTTGAAATTTGTAACCAAACTGGAGATGGAAATTACGAAAGATTCAAAAGAAGAAAGTACATTCCTCTGTCCTTTGGGACATCCGTTAAATCGGAATGATACGGCGAAGATTAGCATGCCCCCTGCACAATGACGACACAATGGACACATAAATCGAGAAATGGTCCAAATTGAGAAAAAAAAAAGGAAAGTTATCTGTACACCCCTCTGTCTCTACAGACCTACCATCTTCACCCGAAAATAATGCCCGGGCGTTGTGTACGAATGTAACGCCCGGGCGTTATATTCAGTAAATTTGTGGTAACTTCGGTGAGGCCCCAAAATTCCGAAAAAAGAAATAAATCAAAAAATTCTGATTTTTTTTTTTGTTGTTGTCCAGGGTTGGAATGCGACCAACTTTTGGTTGAGGGTCACTTCAGAATCCTTATAACCTCGGAAATAAAAAATAAAAACGAAACTAAAGCCAAAATATACCCCTTGGAAGTCAAAACCCCATTCAACCCTCTTCAAAACCCACCTTCCCCGCCCTTTAAAACCCATGTATACTACCTCTTCAAGGCACTCTGCCCATGGAACATTCAAATATTACGCCTGGGCGCTCTATTCGAATATAACGCCCGGGTGTTCTATTTGAAGGGGCGTTCTATTTGAAAAATGTGAGTAAAAACGAAAATCTCATCTTTTTAGGGTAAGTTGAATATAACGCCCGGGCGTTATTTTCGGGTGGGGTTTCCCCGAACTGAGCCCTGGATCTGGTCCAGTCTGGTATTGTGCTGGGATCTTTTGTAATCATACTATGTTCTTTTTTTTGGTATTGCTTTTATCCTCAATTGCTACGTTGGCACTCAGCTCTTTCCCCTTGACACTTACCCGTACAGAATGGCTGTATAATGCTTCGTGCTTCTGTTATTTTCAAAATGAGCTTAAACCACCAGTACCTCCAAACCTCTTTTTGCCAACCCGGATCTCCCCTGAGCGCTGAAGAGAAACGAACCGCAGCAGTTCTTTTTTTTTTTTTCGCCTGGCACCGCAGCCAATTTGGTCTGGTAGCAATGTTCATCCGAAGAACCCATATTGTTTTCTTTCCGATTCTGAAGTTTGCCTTGGCGAGCAATCAAACCTTTTCACATGACTCACCTGTTTTGATGTTCGGTGACTGGCAAATGTCTTTTGGAGGCTGATTCAATGCTTTTGAAATCCACTGCGGAATTGTGCACTTTCATGGTAGTAAAGCTGCTGTATCACTCAACTCTCTCAAGCATATCGTGATCTTGCTCCTAATTAGACCAGCTGCTTTGACCAATGCACGTGTGTGTGTGTGTGTGTGTGTGTGTGTGTGTGTGTGAGAG